ACACACACACACACTTTAAGCCCACAACAGGATCATTCTCTGACATATCAGGTTTTTTTTCTTTCTCTAGTTGGTGATCTGTCCATGTTGGTAACAGCTGCATGATATTCATAGTTAAGAGTCCTCTTTTGAATGACATTTAAATTGTGTCCCCTTTTTATTATTGCAAGTAATAAGCATATAGAATAACCAAATGCTTTAAATATTCTATACTTGGAAAAGCATACTTTTTTAAACATTAAAAAGAAAAATCTCACTTACTTCGCATTGGAAATAAATGTTTCCAGACAGTTCTGTTTGATGTCACCCATCTGACTGCTGACGCCATGATCCTTATCAGGTGATTTGAAAAAGATTTTGTGAGGCGAGATCGCGTCTAAAATCTGTTTCTAGGCACACAGAATTCCAATCCTGCTTAAGAGACAAAGGAAAATCAGCTACAGGGGTAAGCCTCAACACCGCAATAGGACAAGAACCATTAACTAGCACGAGTCACCTGAAAAGGAGGCTCTTCAACTTTTCAGTCCCACGAGATGTAACAGCGGGACGAAGAGCAACGACATTAAAATGTAAGAACCCACACCCAAGAACTACGTCTACTATCACGCCTCTCCAATGCAACCTTCGCTGCACTCATGCAGTTTGTTTCCGTTGAGTGTGCAGTAAAAACGCAATTACTTAGAAAGTCCTTCACACACAATGCACAGTGCATACACCTCAAACGCTGGTGTGTCTACGTACTAACTCCCAAGTCCCACACATAAGACCTTGCCGCTCATTGTAATATTGTTTCTGATGAAATATTCAACAAGACCTGTCTTTGGTCCATGAAAAATGTAAGAGGAACACGTCAACGTCACCATCTTACAGGTTGTAAACAAACCGCTCTTGTCGCCGTTTCATCTGTCACGTAACATTTAACGATAATGTCAAGGCGTATTTATAGGGAATCATGAAAACTGAAAGGACTTGCTTCCAAAGACTTTGGAGTTGCTCAATTACAAACTGGAAAATCTGAGGCAAGTCTTTAATTGCACGACCTTCCATTCCAGTTCTTCCGTGGTAGACTGGGGGAAACAATCGCAGTTTTCATGGGAAGTTGTAAATACGTTGTATATAATTACTGTGCCCCTATTCTCAATTTGTCTCAATGGTTATCTATGTCCCTCCCTAGCTCAGCAGGCACGAAAGGGAATAGTAGGGCACAGTCTCTATTTGCAGGCCGATTCCTGACACGCCTGACACGCCTTGCTAACCCGGAGTTCACTCGGCATGCAACAGTGGCTCCCTTCCGCTCTGTGCTCTTTCAGACATTTGATTAGGAACAAAGGCCGAGAGAAGTCCGGTGATTTATTATTTAGTAGTCCAGTGTCTAACTAGTGTCATGCATGAGACACAAACCCACGTCTTCCGATTACAAGTCCAGAATCAAAACATTTGTAAGGGGGAACTTTAAGTTTCCTCGGCTCGGTGCTGACATTGTCGGCTGAGGGTCAAACTGCTGCTGCAGAGACTTTCGACCGTGAGCCCCTTGGCACGGAATTCAGCTCGAAATCTAACATCCGGGAGGGTCTGAGGTTTGGGGAACAGGTGCACGGGGACTGCGGCCCAGGAGAGATCTCAGGAGTCGCGGGGTCAACGTGGTGCAGCCGGACGCCCAGCAGCACACGGGTGCTGAGCCACGAGAGGGCACAACCAATACGTGCACCTTCCGCTGCATGGAGCCTGGGGACACCGCAGCCTCGCCCTGGGGGGCAACGACGGGCAGAAAAGCCCTCGCCGCCCAGGGACGAGCCTTCCAGGCCTGTCCCGGAGGAAGAGAGGGCAGCGGCTGCATAGAAAACTACTCACCGCGGGCCAGCCATCTTGCCTCAATCCGGGTCCTAAAGACGCCGTCCAGCGCGCGCACCTCGGGCCCGCGAGGCACTCTGGGAGTCGTAGTCTCTGCGGGGGATGGGGGGGGGGAGTCGCCCTGGTCGCAGGAGGAAGGTGGGGCGGGGTCCTGTGGCCACCCAGCATTTGTGATGGCAGCTTGGGTTACAAAAGGTGTTCCGGCCCGGCGGTGGTGGCACACGCCTTTAATCCCAGCAGTCGGGAGGCAGAGCCAGGCGGATCTCTGTGAGTTCGAGGCCAGCCTGGGCTACCAAGTGAGTTCCAGGAAAGGTGCAAAGCTACACAGAGAAACCCTGTCTCGAAAAAACAAAAAAAACAAAAAAACAAAACAAACAAACAAAAAAAAAACCCAAAAAACGAAAAAACCAACAAAAGGTGTTCAGGCAACAAAATCACTACCAGTTTCTAGTAGCAGGTACTGTTTAAAATAACAGCAGAAAACAATTCAGAAAGACACTGGACTATATATACCGTTGAGGGCTGAATTAGGTTTTTTTTAGAGCAGACAAGATGTCAGAGAATTCTAACGTGGACGTTAAGAGCTGAGGGTGAGACATTCCGGGTGTGGCTTTGTTGACTAGCTTGAAGGTTAGTCAAAGCACAGGAGAGGACAAACTAATCGAGCAGGTTGGGAGTTTGTCCTATAAGGGTGGGAAAGGATTCCGTTTGGGAGTTGTCGATCTGGGGATTCATCTGAGATGCCCAAGTGGTGATATAAAACCAAGCAGGCTGGTAGTAGCGGTTGGACTAAATAGGAATATAAAGCCATGGGAATGAGGCCTGGGTATGTACCTTGGTGCTATAGCATGCCTGAGGCCCTGGGTTTGATCTCTAGCACCACAAAAGCATAATAAATAAAGCTATGGGAATATCGAGCCAGTCAGTGTAGGGAGAAAATGTTTTTCCATATTTGGGCATATTTGGGCCCTTCTGGGCCTGTTTCGGTGGGTTACAGGAACAGTCCTTTTTTTGGTCATTGCTTTGATATCCTGTGGGACAGACTCAGGTCTTGTATGATCTCTCTCCCTCCTCCTTGTTGTCAGGGGTGTTGCTGATTAACAGCCCTTTGTTTAAGAAACTGGAACTTAGACCCAGCTTATAAAATGGAGGAAGTTTACATCTCTCAAGGTAATATGTCTTGGGCTCTCAAGCTTTGGGCCTTCATTACCCCTTGAACTTGCTACATACAGGGACACAGAAGCTTGTACCTGGAACCCAGCGATCAATCCTGGCTTGGGATGCCATATGTCTAATCAGCCTCTGAGGTGAGAAAACATTCTGAAGACTGAAAAACCTCTGTTCCAGGGTGGACTTGATCCCAAATCTTTGTACTCCATCCCTACAGTTCTGATTGGTGAACTCTAAAACAGGGTTGGGAGCTGGAATTGGTGGAGCATGTCTTTAGTCCCAGCACTCTGGAGGGAAGGTGGACCTGGTCTACCTAGGGAGTTTCAGGTCAGCTAAGGCTACATAGAGACACTGTTTCAAAAACAAAACAAAAAACCAAGTGCTCACTCGGAGGAGACCCGATCTAGTGTTGGTGTGGGCCTGGGGTTCTGTTTATGTCTCTCCTCAGGACAATGAGGTTCCTCTTTGGATTCCTGAGCACTGTGTGCACCCTGTGGCTGCTGCTGAAACCCAACATGACAGAGACCTATTGGACCTTAATGAAAAACTCTCCCCTTCTGATGCCAATGGGGATTGACAGCCCAATATGGCCAGGTTTGGCAAGCATTAACATAAGCCTAGGAACTGTAGCCATGAGGTTGGATTCTCCAGAAGGTAATGTATGGTAACTGCTTTTTCAAGTATGTTTGAGAAAGTGTCACCCAGACGCCTTGGAGATTAAGGATAACCCTGAAGGTCACTGAAGATCCATTTGTTAACAGCTAAGCCTTTTCATTTTCACAATCCTCTTCAAGCTGGTGTAGTACCTACTTTTCAGGAGTGGCTCTGTGCAACATTTATTGGCCTCCTGAAATTCATTTAGCCCCCCTTTGAAGATAAATTAAAATTTATGAGCCTGAATGTAGCCATTATAAGACCATTAGTTATGCTCCTTATGAGCTGCCTGTTTTTTCTTTATGGTTCTTAGTTGTTTTTCAAAGCTGCCAGCCTAAGTCATGCTGGGATCAAGAAAAATGGGCCTTGGTGGTTCCTGTTCCTGGAGTTGTATCCGTGCCAGTGGATGTCCATACGATCCAGAAGAGAATTTGACATTGCTGCTGCCATTGTTGCTGTTATAGCAGTGGCAGCCACCGCTGCTACTGTTTCTGGGATTACCATTTCATAATTGCTTACTACAGCTAGCACAGTGGAGATCCTGGCAGCAAAAGTAGCTACCACAGTTAGTTAATCTTTCATTCTATTGGGCATGATTAATTTAATTCAATAGTTATATACATCTCGATTGGCTTTGAAAATTATAAATTTATAAACTCAAGTTCCAGTTGCTTTTGGAATACCATCTTACAAGGACTTTAATTTGCAGTAAGGCTCGTTAAGGAAGGGAATGGCTCAGTTGCCTTTAGCTTATTGGCTATGGGAGGGATAGGACCTCTGTTGGTCTTTTCTGTGTCGAACACACAGATTGCAAGCCCAGTGCCACTTTGAGATCTTTGGCAGCAGTTAACTCTGCAGCTCACACATGATTGAGCCTGTATGATAATGAGTATTCAGACGGGTAATACCTGGGGGGCACTCACCAACCTAAGACAGAGAGCCTGTGTGGCCTGGGCAGGTGTCTCCATGACAGGTAAGGTGACCTGCTGACATCCCACGCAACCTATGTCAGAAGCTCATTTTTTAATAAAAGGGGGACCTGTAGGGCCCTGGCCCCCGTTTTGGGTAACTGTTGCCTTGCTTGCTGACCTTGACCTTGATATCCTCCCTATGCTAATTCCCTGCTGGGTTCCACCCTCCTGAATGCTTAAGGGAAGTTCCTTGTCTGTGTATCCTGCATATTGGGCGTTAACAGCTTAGATGCAAGATTGTAAAACATTGGTAGTGAACTTCTGCTCTTTGGGGTTCTCCCATTGTGCTGTAAGCCTGTATTCAAGACCTCTTCCCTCCTTCTATGAACAGTTTCAGCACTAAATAAATAAATAAATAAATAAATAAATAAATAAATAAATAAGGAAAAAAGTGCTGTGGATATCGCTCTGTATAAATAAACACTGATTGGCCAATAGCCAGACAGGAAGTATAGGCAGGACTAACAGAGAGGAGAATTGAGGAAACAGGAAGGGAAGGGGGAGACTGTTGTAGCCGAAGCCAGGACAAGGAAGATGTAAGGTACCGATAAGCCATGAGCCAACATGGCAAAGTATAGATAAATAGAAATAGGCTAAATATAAGAGTAAGAACTAGACAATGATAGGCCTGAGCTAATAGCCAAGCAGTTTAAATAATGTAAGAGTCTGTGTGTTTATTTTATAAGTGGGCCCCGGGACTGGTGGGACTTGGTGGGAGCTGGAAAAAAAATTCTCGGACTTGGTGGGAGCTGGAGAGAAATTCTCCAGCTACAACCAAGGAGTTGGGTCAGTTCTACCCAGCCTTATCCCTTATTTCTCTTTTCCTTTCTCCATCTTTTTTTCCCCCTCAAGACAGAGTTTTGCTGTGTAGTCCTGACTGTGCTGCAACTTGCTCTGTAGCCCAGGCTGGCCTCAAAGTCACAGAGATCCGCCTGCCTCTGCCTCCTGAGTTCTAGTTTTAAAGACATGCGCCACCACCATGGGGCTCCTTTCTCCATCTTTTTTTCTCCCCTCTTTCCAGTGCTGAGTTCGAATCCAGACACTTATGACTGTCGGTGAACGCTCTTCCACTGAACTACACAAACAAACAAAGGTCTCAAAACTCTGTCCAGTCCTTCTG